TATAAAGTAAGTATGATTGAAAATTTTACAATATACTAGAGAATTTCAAAAACGGAAATTCGATTTTTGTCATTTATTTGTGAAAATCACACATCACACAGTGAACAGTTTTTGAACAAAAAATATATTTGTCAAAGGTGTTTCTTGACAGAAATATTTGTAATTGTTAAATAGATTGTGTAAACAACAATGAAAAATCTTTATTTACAAATAGTCTCAGGCATTTTTCTTAGGAATGCTTAGAATTTTCTAAGCAATGCTTTCTCCTTGTCACTCTCCAGTAATTGTTCCAGAGCCTGTTCCACTGTAAATCGTTTACTGCTTGCCATCATCATCAAGTGCTAAAATAATAAAAAATGCTATAATTGTATGTATACATTATATATATTATAATTCTTCTGTCTCTCTCTCATATAAATCTTTTGTTTATTAATTGTTTATACTCGACTTCGATTTCTGTCGTCTCCTCCACTTAATGCTGTTGTCATATGCCTTACTATATAGTACCACCCCTTGCAAGGCTACAGAGTCCTCAGATTTGCTAGAATACGTCATGGTAACCTTCCCCTGATTGGGTAAGAAAAATATTTCTCCATCTGCAATTTTTCCATTGGTTGTTGCTCGTGAATCTGCCAAACAACATAGATTTCATTGGCCTTTGACGGTGTGTATACAAGCCGGGTAAGAGGAGCTGGGAAATGTTCACGAAATGGAGATTCGTCCGGCCTCGGCGTGACTAAAACACACTCTTTTCCTCATTTCGCCGGTGACGTATGCCGACGGGGGGAGGGGGTGGGGTAGCTTTCTTATAAAGTAAAGAAAGCTACCCGCGGGTTTGATGCTGACCCGTTCCACTGACGACTCGCGGACAGAAGGGGGGAGGTCCACAGAGCTCGCCCAATCCTCACTGTCCGACACCAAGATGGATCTGCTGGCCCTCTCTATAGATGCAGCTAACTCGTCGTCATAACTGGCGAAAGCGGCGGCGTGGTCGCCGTTGTCTGTCAGTGAGCGACTGGTGAAGCTGGTGAAGCTTGCGGGTGAACCGGCGAGCTCTCACGGGCTGGAGAAGGCTCGAGGCCCTGCTGAGTACGCCGCTTTACGGCGTGGCACTACAGCGGGAGGGAGTGCAGACTCAGAGGACTATGCCAGGCGAGTCCTCGGAGTCACCATACGCAATAGCTCGCAGCGAGCGCGAGTGATGCATGATCCTCTCCCAGGCAGGAAACGCAGATGAGGCGGTCCCCGTTGCTGAGTGGGGCTCGGCACGAGCCGCGTGAGGATGGCATCCTAAAAAAGACACGGCTCTTTTAGTAAGTGAGTCGCGGGGGCGAACACACAGTGAGCAGAGTTTAAAAGGATATAGGCGACGGATAGCGTAGCAGGAACGGCGACTGAAGGTGGCGAGATGAGGCCAGCGGCTTCAGAAGATGGCTCGTCCCGCAGAAGGCTTTCTACGGCGCGGCTTCTCACTCAGGATCCAGCGATGCATGCGCTTAGCTTAAAGGGTTAGTTCACCCAAAAATGAAAATTAAGTCATTAATTACTCACCCCCATGCTGTTCCAACCCCGTAAGACCTTCGTTCGTCTTCGGAACACAAATAAAGATATTTTTGATTGAATCTGAGAGCTGGATCAGTCCTACATAGCATGCCTAAGGGACTGGCTCTTGACGGCCCATAAAGTCATTAAAGAAAATGTTTAAATATTCCATGTGCCTACAGCGGCTCAATTCTAAGTTTATCAAGCGACGAGAATACTTTTTGTGCGAAAAAACATAAATAACGACTTAATTTGACTATTCTATTACTTCCTTATGGGCGCATGCGCGAGAACTGAGACGAGGACGTTCTTCTCCTTCGACTACTTTTTGTTACGGGCTGCTCACCGCTTAGGAGTTTTACTGCCACCTACCGTATAAAATGATGATCCATATATAAGGCGCTCCGGATTATAAGGAACACTGTCGTTTTTTGAGAAGATTAAAGGCTTTTAAGGGCACCTTATAGTGCGGAAAATACGCAAATTGAAAAGCGTATGTACAGCGCGCATCTTCCTCTGCTTGTAAACAGAAAAACTCCTAAGCGGTGAGCAGCCGGTAACAAGAAGTAGACGAATGAGAACGTCCTCGTCTCAGTTCTCGCGCATGCGCCCATAAGGAAGTAATGGAATAGTCGAATTAAGTCGTTATTTATGTTTTTTTCGCACAAAAAGTAGTCTCGTCGCTTGATAAACGTATAATTGAGCCGCTGTAGGCACATGGAATATTTAAACCTTTTCTTTAATGACTTTATGGGCCGTCAAGAGCCAGTCCCTTAGGCAGTCTATGTAGGACTGATCCAGCTCTCAGATTCAGTCAAAAATATCTTTATTTGTGTTCCGAAGATGAACGAAGGTCTTACGGGGTTGGAACAGCATGGGGGTGAGTAATTAATGACTTAATTTTCATTTTTGGGTGAACTAACCCTTTAAGAGATGAAAAATCAGTGATACCAGTCCATCAAGCTATATTTCCAGGGCTAGGCCACGTCCGCTTCAGTGGGAGCGTGAGGCAATGAGTGCAAAGCGCCCACCATTGGACCCATTGGACTGCTCTCGATAGGCTGCTGCAGTTGCCGCAGGACAGCCAATAGGCACGCTAAGCTGCCTTGCCTATGTCTGCATGCTTCCACAACGCATTTTTGCAATGATTCAAAATTAAGGATAATTTTTTGGCTTCAATATCTCGAGGAAAGAGGTTTTCCCCTCGCGTAAGATATTACGCAGTACGAGAGAACCTCTAGTAAGAGGACCCAGAGTTCTCCCATGGTCTCTGTTCGTCTTTGTTTATGAATGCGTTTGGTTGTGGTCCTCCGTGTTCTCCAAGTATTTATCATTCAAGTCTGTTCCAGCGTATTCTCCAACGCTGTGTGATTCATTATTAAAGCCAACACACGACAAAGTGTCAACCACCTGTGTTAAACCACACTTCATAAAAGTTGAAAGGCGAAGTGTTTGGCTTTAATGTCAAATTTAAACTATACTTTGGGCTTAATGTTCCAATGAAAAAAAAAGACCTCAGTACACCTAGAGCTTATCCACACATGTGGCTTAGCCAATCAAAAGACAGCTCATTTGCATATAGACGTCTTAAAGGCACAGAAGAAAAAAACAGTCTGTTTAATACGAATAGTCAGAAAGAGAATGGTAAATGGCCATGGGGGGGAAAACAACTAAATTAAGTCTGTTGTTAGTACACAAAAAAAACGAATATTATATATTGACTTGGGGACATATCATGGAAAAATCCACCTTTTTTAGCCCTTAAATGCATTTTGTTGTATATTTGGAGTGTTTATAAGTACAGAAAAGATGAAATTATTCTCTTCAGGTGCTTCGTTTATATCTTTATATTCTGTTTTGGTCATATTTTTCAACCTGTTCAGATTTTTCTGTTCTCTATGACGTTTTTTGAACTATCACGTCACAGTATTTGCAGCGGAACTGCCAAATAAGGACATCGACTACCGGTCCAACACTTCGAGCAATCCGCCATTATTATTTCTCGCTCCAATTTTGTAGTCCGAGCTCAATGATGCAGGGCAAGTCAAAATGTTCGGTTCTTGGATGTAGTGACCTGAAGCACTTCAAGGATCCCCACTTCAACAACCTCCGCCAGTGTAAAGAAGGGTTTGCCGAATGAGGGGTAAATTCCTTCTGTCATTTAGCTGCTGTGTTTTCTGATGCTTTTCTAAACGTAAGTTATCATATTATTATCAATACAGATTTTTAGTGGTAAGATTGGACCGTAGTCATTTATCTTGTCATTGTGCTCGTTTTAACAAGAGAAATAGTCGACTTTCACTAATAACACAACATAGTTAACTTACATACCACTGCATCCATATGGAGACGTTGTTCTGCAGGTTTGTCGTCGTTTTTTTGTTTTTGTTTTTTTTTTTCAAATCTCTCGCTCTGGCTCGAATATGTATGTAAAGTTATGTGGACAAGTCTTCCGTTGTTGACATTTTGATAACGTGTGAATAAAAATGTTCTTTGAATCTATAGTAATCGTATATCTCTTGTCAAACTACAATAATGGCCGAACGTGGGGAGTTGAACCGACCGTGAACTCATCGACCTGGAGAGCGGGCGGGGAAAGACGTAACTTCATTTTATTTAAAGGGGCCGCATTGAAAAGGGTCGCTCACAGACGCACATCAGAAAAGGGGCGTGTGGAGCTATAATAATGAGGAATTCAGACCCAAGCATTGCAGTTATGTTTTATATAGACCACAAATGTATGGTTTATAAGTAAAAATGAATGATTTAAAAGCATGACATGTACCCTTTAAAGGAAGGAAGAAAAGTTATGTACTTTGCAAACAATCTAATAATTGGCCCAATTTCAAGATGAAAATAGATTTTTCTTAGCAGAAAAAAAACAATGGAAACAAAACTTTTTAGAGCATTTAATGTGCATGTGAGAGTATGTGTATATGTGTGTGTGTGTGTGTCAGAAACAGTCAGTGTAATCAGCCATACAGCAGAATGAACAATGCAAGCCTGCAGTCAAACGCATCTGTATGTTCATTAAAGCTGTGAATGTAGCTGAACACAACATCTGGATTACACAATACAGTTGCGGCCCACATAAACATACGACACGTGAATATGCAATCAAAACCAAACCATAACACACAAATACAAATGCCAATAAAACTCTCCTGCAAATGAAAGAAACTGAAGTATTATTCCCATTTGTATCTCTGCCTCATGCACAAGATTTCTAATAACACAGCGTAAACATTAAGGCAGGCAGGTGAGATCTCACACACTAATCACGCTCCCTACGGGGATCAGAGCTCTGCTGATGAGTGTGTTAACTGCATTTGTCAAGAAATGGGATTTCAGTCGGTTGTGCTAGTGGTACGTGAGCTTTCAGACAAACCGATCTCCACAGCGCTTCAATGCGTACTAGAATAAATCTTAAAATGTGACGTGTGAAACCGAAGGCTTACTTGGATCCGACTTTGAGAAGGTGTCTCTGTCCAAGAGGTTTCTGTGGTAGAAAGAAAGAAAGAAATGAAGAAACAGGAGTTAAAAAAGTCCACTTTAAAGGGTTTTAAAGAACATTCATGACTCGAAATAAAACATTAGCCTATAAAGTTTTGATACAAATACACACTCGGCATCAAGTCTTCCATGTTGGTGGAAATATGTCATCCTATGTTCAGTGGTGTTGAACTCTCTTTATCCATTCAGGCAGGGTTTGCCAAATATCCCAAGATGAAAAATACATCATTGTGATTCAGTGCATGGCAATGCCTCACCGTGTCGTAATCGAGTCGTGATTGAAACTGTGCCAAACGCACAAGAGAGACTAGAAAGTGAATCTGATATCACTCTCGATCTGAGAAGCAGCTTTCGCTTTCAGAGGTTTGTCTAATTTAGATGAGGAATTAAATCATTGATTGCAGGAATTATATGAATCAACAAATAACCAAACACAAAACGTCAAGTATCAATGCTACACTGTGGGAGAAAGAAATGTGATATAGCATATATCAGGCAGTGAATCACTGAAGGAAATCTCACGCACACACACTGATCTCTTCTGACGGCGCAAAGTGAATCATTACAGTAAAAAAACACACGACACACATGTATTTCTCACTTGCCAACTGTTCTCTCACACTGACTTTATCTTTATATGATACACACCAAAGTTATTATAACATGATTTGAATTCACAAATTATATGTAAATACGTAACCAATATAAAAAATATGTAACTCATCCGATTAAACAACTAAATGAATTATGTTCTTTAGGCTAAAACCCAAACTAAATACATTATAACCCATGGGCTACACAAACTGAATACACCTGAATAAACGAAAATGAATGTAAGCGATAACACATACCCGACTGAATATTGAACTCATAAATGACTGAATATATTATAACTAATAACCCAAATGCATCCCATACACTCAATATTTATCACATAACCCCAACTTCATACAATATATAACCATTAATGAATATATCACCAATAATCCATGTGGTGAAAATCAAGTTTTTAATGTTGTTTATGTGTCTATGTGGTGTTTTAAGACAAACCATGTGTAAATTATATACATTAAATTAATTATATACATTAAATTATATATATTGTATCTGTCGATATATCATAGTGTTATACATTAATTTATACAAATTTTAATCTATGAATTTTTATTTGAACTTTGATATCTGTCTATGATGATGAGGTTTGATGACCAGATTCAATCACTGAACCTAATTGGTTGAACCTAAATGGATCTTTACATTGATTGGTCATGTGATTAATGAGTTTGAATATTTGTAAATGTCTGATGAAGGTCGTGAGACCGAAACGATGCTAATAGAAAGGTTGATTCTCATTTGCAAGTACGGATAGTGTGCAGGAGTTCCTTGTTTATTGTAAATCTATGATATACGAAATGATGTTTATCTACGTTACTTACGCACAGCTCACTCTGGCCTTGAATGACAAGGTAAGGAAAATAAGACTAAACCAAAATTAAATTCAAAAAGACTTGGTTGGTATTTTTCTCAGGAGATGTTTTGAGCATTTTACTTCAGACGCCGGATTATCAGCAAAATAAACTAGAAATCTATTCATTCAGCATATTTGTGTTTGATCTGTGTGAATTACTTGAAATATAAGACTTACTAGACCTACTTTTAGCTACCAAGCAACCTTTCCACATTGATTTTATTTTTTAGTATTTTATAGTTGATTATGATATTTAACACTGAGTATATGACTGATTCACAAAAATAAAGACTGACTTAATTTAGACCAAAACCTTTCCCCCAGGCTAACTCAGGTCTAAGACAGTTAAGTAACAGTCAGTTACACTACAAACAGCCGAAAGAAAACACAGGCGACAGTCCACCATATATATTCACATTTATATATATATATATATATCCATTTTCTCTTGGGGTCCTCCTCCCATTTTTGGATATTTCCTCTTTTTTTGGCATCTTGTACCATGTTTTTCTATCTTTCCTGTACGTCTTTAGCGCTCCCCTCAACGGTCGGATTAACGCTGTTAATTGTCGTAGCAATCTTTTTCCATATAAATCATCTCTTCTCGTTACTACATTCTCCGCTAAACTTCCCAAGTTAAATGTCCTTGTAACTGTTACACTCCTCCATCACACACATATTTTCCCCTGGGGTAAACTGCACTGAGCGGTTAAATGCGCTCACTCGATCCGCCATGTTTTTTGTTTTAAAAAAAGTGTCTTATTTTACCCAGAATACATTGCAGTGTAGTCCTACTTCAGATAGTCAGAGTCTTCAGTGATTTGTGCAACGGCCTGATTTAGATGTCTATCTGAAGTCTGACTATCTACTATTGCAACCCGGTCTCATCCCAAGACGTCATATAACTGACGTTTTGGGACGTCTTTTGACCATACGTCAATATTCGCCTTTTTAGGGTACCCTTAAACGTCGGTAGATGAGGTTATGGGATCCTAACTCTACCCCATACCTAAACCTAACCCTAAACCTAACCCGTCACCTAACTGACGTTAAAGGTAAAGCGTCATTTGTATGACGGCCCGGGATCGCCATCTACCGACGTTTAAAGGGGCCCTAAAAAGGCGGATATTGACGTATGGTCAAAATACGTCCCAAAACGTCAGTTATATGACTTTTTGGGATGAGACTGTGTTAACTATTGAGGGAATGCATTGCCGACGCTTTCCCGCCAAAACAACCCCCCTCAGACTGACTGAGTGGCAAAAGATCTGCTGCGTGACTGGATTTAATAGGGGAAACTGCGAAAATGCGACTAAAACGAACAATTTTATCAATTTAAATTAAATGTTGGACTCGATATAGTGTTCCTTACAACTTACTAAAGATCCAGTGATCCATGGATATTGACATGCGGCCAGGAATCGCGTTGCCTGACGTTTATGTTCGCCTGATTTTTTCGACACCGGGGACATAAAAGCAATATAGACCTAAACATTAAGCAAATTTGCCCTTACCAAACCCTTTTCAGTTGGTAAACATGGTGATGTTTTTTGTGGGTGGAGCTTAGGTGGAGGCAGAGCGATCCCTCTGGCCGCTTCACTAACGCTAGTTAGCAAGTATTGTTAGCTTGTTTTTTAGCAATGACTGGAGAAAATACAAATTCATCTTAACGTGTAAGGTCACTCAGTGTTTAGGACCGCGATTGTTATTTCAAAAGGTTATTTTTAACGGACGGAACCAGATTGGCCGACCCGTAGCCGCCTACACGCTCACTCAATGCATGGACGATCTGACAGGATTATTGTTACGTTACCTCGGTTGAGTGGCCTGACTTCTACACCTACCATATAGAGAAACTGATCGTAAAGAGAAACTGAGGGCATATAAATCTTTAGATGTCTATATGGACCTGTACAAGACTTGTGTACGATCCGCAGTTCTGCCGAGCCAGCGCCGAGACGACGACAACGTAAAGAGTTTCTTTTTTTCTAGAAATAAAAATTCCAGGTACGCCATGTTCATTTTTCATCAATTCTTGCACCAAACAACACAACAAGATGACATTTAATAATAGTAACAATAATTTAAGCTCCTTATTATGTCGCCGAATCTGTGCTGGTTTGTATTGGCCGCCTCCAGTTTTCACTTTGTTTAGCCTCCAGCTAGCGCCGTGACGTAACTGTGACGTCGGCGCAAAAGGGGTCTATAGGTCGGTCTAAATCCGGGTGATCACTTATATCCGTGTTATATTTTTAATTGATGAGTTGTTAATATATATATAACAATAAAAAATAGATGGGTATGGTTTTACCCCTAAATTCAGCGTATTGACACAAAATGATAACTGCAAATCCAGCTTTCGCTGACTGGAGTCCAGTTGTTTCATTTGCTCCTCTTTCTATAGCAGTCTGTAAAAATATACCTCAGATTTTTTGTCAAATCTAGTTGTACAATCAATCGCAAAGCTCTTTCCCACTTTATATGTGTTGTGTTTGTTTTTCGCGGCATTCACGCTGAAAACAAATACAGCCGCTCAGTCTTTTTGCCACTCACTGTGAGGAACTGTAGGCGCTCCGGCCGACGGTGACGTCACGCGCATACCCTCTATTGCTAAGCCGTAATCAAAAAGTCTATGTGAACCCGGCAGCTGGAAAACAGGAACAACAGGAAACAGAACAGAATGTCAAAATAAGAGTCCCCATGACAGAACGTGAACGTGACAGACCTACAACCCCAACGAATATATTACCCATAACTCTAACTGACCAACTAAATGCACATTACCCACTCCGCAAGTGAAAACATGACAAGAAAATAAACCTAATCTTAAAAAAAAAATACTTGAACTGATTCTATGCTCAGCGTATAGTGATGTTCAGGCACTCAAGACAGAAGCTCTTACGCATGAACAACACTATTCACACAGATGATGCGCTTGCCTTGCCTCACTGTACACAGAGCGTGTGTTGGGTAAGAGTTTATATTTGTGCAGCTGATGCCATCAACCACCATTCACTCCCACCGCCCTGACCCCTGACTTTAAGCTAGCTCACAAAAACACTGTGCAGATACGCATATACTGTACTCTTGTGTATATATACTTTATGAGATGGTGTGGCCTCCCAGAAAGGCCCTTTGAGCATTTATGGTTTAAATGTGAAGACTAAGCACGAGTCCACACCTGAAGACGGCAGACCCAGCCATAGCTGGAGTACAGGAAACACTCCAAAACCAGAACACCCTCATCAAACATTTACACAAAACAGCACATTCCCATTTCAAATCCCAGCACACATCCAACGCTCTCCATCACAAACACACCCGGCTGCCAATCACGTCCACCGACACTCCCGCTCCTCTTATGACTTAATCAATGTTTATCCCCGGTCCTCTTCCGGACTCGCTCCGCATTCATATTTAGAGCATGGTGGCACAACACTGAGGAATAATTCATGAGGAACGTAATTGTAGTGGCACTAACGAGGACGCGGATCCTGAGGGACTTTAATATGTAAAGCCCCCGATCAAACTCGCACTCGGTAAAGATCACCGGATTGACGAGCGCATCAAGACTGACATTATAACTGTGTTAATAACACTATGTTGATCCCCAATTGCTGGATTGTGAAAGTAGGGCGTTTAAATAAGTTTGATAAAGTCAGGAGTGGGAAACACATTCGGTAACACTGTAGGATCCAATTCTCACTATTCACTCATTAGCATTCATATTACTAGCATATTATTGGCTGATTATTATTACTTATACATCACATATTAAAGGAGTAGTTCACTTGAAAAAAACTTTTGCTGATAATTTACTCACACCCATGTCATCCAAGATGTCCACGTCTTTCTTTCTTCAGTCGAAAAGAAATTTTTGATGAAAACATTCCAGGATTTTTCTTCATATAATGGACTTCAATGGGAACCAAACGGTTCAAGGTCCAAAAGACAGTTTTAGTACAAACTGTTCAAAGGGCTTTAAATGATTCCAGACGATGATTAAGGGTTGTATCAAGTGAAACGATCGCTCATTTAATAAATAAATAACAAAGTTTAAGTTTTATAAGCTCAAATGCTCGCCTAGGGTTAGGGTGTGATGCACGTTCGTGACTCTCCTGTTCGAACTCATTCATCAAAATGAACGAATCTTTTCCCCAAGTCGACTCGTTCATTTCGTTCGTTGAATGAACCAAATGACTCGAAAAAAGATTTGTTCATTTTGATGAACGAGTTTGAACAGGAGAGTCACGAACGCGCATCACACCCTAACCCTAGGCGAGCATTTGAGCTTATAAAACTTAAACTTTGTTTTTTTTTTTTTTAAATGAGCGATCGTTTTACTTGATAAGACCCTTATTCATCGTCTGGAATCGTTTAAAGCTGCTCTGAAATTGTCATTTGGACCTTGAACTGTTTGGTTCCCATTGAAGTCCATTATATGGAGAAAATGCTGGAATGTTTTCATCAAAAACCTTAATTTCTTTTCGACTGAAGAAAGAAAGATATTGACATCTTGGATGACATGGGGGTGAGTAAATTATCAGCAAAAGTTTTTTTTAAAGTGAACTACGCCTTTAATGACATATTCTGCATGACTTTATTCTACATCCCTAATACCTTGATTTAACTTCCTTATTAACTATTAATAAGTAGTAACTAGGAGTTTATTGAGACAAAAGTCATAGTTAATAATGAGAAATGGACCCTAATCTTGTGACCAAATGTTCTTATTAGAAATGATATAATAATCACACTGATTCATAATACATAATTAAAAGATACTGTATTTTGCATTAGGAAGTGAAAATAGTTACATTGATGAATAAATAAATGCATACATACACAATAAATATTATGAAAAGAGCTCTTGTAGTATCTCTTCATAAACTAAAAAATCTGTGCTAATGTTTTAGGCATTAGATGACGGGTTTTTGCTCTCAGCTTTATTTCTGTAGCGCTTTATACAGTACAGATGGTTTCAGAACAGCGATACAGAGATAACAGGAAAACGACGCATTGTGGCTGTTGTTCAACAACAAACAATTTAAACCACTAAATTTAATTACATTTACATTTAAACAACTATTGATTTTTAACAAATAAAGAGTTATTTTGAAATATAAAATGTCTTAGACTGGAGTAAAATCAGTCATTTATCATTTACAGTTGAGCAACTAACAATTTTTACAGTAGCTTTTTACTAAACACAGTTAGTATTTAGCATTTTCCATGATCATGTATTGAGTTTGAATGAGGCATGACACACACACACATGTCCTGCCTGATTAATATTCAATAAACAAACACATCTCTGCCCGGTTTATAAGCTGATGCTAACACTGTGTGTGTGGGGCACTACTGACGGATGAACGAGGAGAGAAAAGAGTGTTGTCCTGCTTGCTCTCCACAGTGTGTATCGACACGTCCTCCAACACGGAGGGTCCCGCTTCGGTACGCTAGACGGAGCGGGTCAATCAGTCGATACCGGCCCTCTTCACTCAACCCAAAATAGCTTCTGTTCTCACCCTCACACACATCTGCACACTGACACTTCTTTCTTTGAAAATTGAACAATAAAGATCAAATGTTTATGGTTAATGCTGAAAGAAAGCTCACCTCACACACACACCGATGACACACACAATACCCGTTAATCATTTTTAACAGAAGAGGAATACACAAATGTTAAAGAAAAACTGTCAATTGGTTAACTCTGAGATTTTAAAATATATTTCATTATTAAAAATGCATATACTGTACTCTTAGCCTACTCAAATGGTTAAAATGAATAATGTTCTTAATAACAAAACAATACAGTAAGATGCTTTATAAAACTGCCATTTTGTAATACCAACAAAACATTAATTTTTCTCTTTTTTTCTTTTCTATAATTCCATGGTGAAATATTATAATTAATTTTATATATATATATATTATTTTTATTTATTTATTTTTTTTTTTTTGAAAATGTAGCCTACATCTTTTTTATGGTAAAATATAGATTAAAAAAATAGGTTTTTAAAAATTTCAAGAAAATACCGCTATCAAAATATCATGTTATGCCTGGAATATCATTACTGTATTTTACAGTACATTCTGGCAATCAGAACTAAAACGTTTCACATTTTTTACAGTGTTCAAGAAAGCAGGCAAATCAGAACTTAATATTATACATTTCCTGAATGACTACTAATAAACTGATTTTTCATGTGATAAATATAAATTTACATTTCTCCTCCCTGAAAACGACACACACACAGCCCTGCTCTCTCATCTCAGGTGTGGGTACTGCTGCATTTTAATAATGAAAGGTGAATAGACTGAATTACTCTAGTTATTATAGAGTTTTTACATATCAATGCACGTCTATTGTGCGCTGTGAACAAAGCATCTGATTTAAATCCCGAGGTCTAAAGGAACTTAAAAAGAATAAAACTGCTGCTTCTCAAGACAATTCACGGATTATGCAATGCTGAAGAACAGAGAGATGTGCATCATAAATCTATAAACACACTTTATATAGTCAGCTGCACGTTATTGTGCATAAGAGGCACTTCTTAGGCTAATACATTGTAAAAATATTTCTAGTAATGCACTACAACACATGGACAATTGCTAAATCGTGTTTTTTTATATATCTGTAACAATATCTATAATATAATGCATTGTTTTGTGTATGCTTCATCACTAAATGAAAATTAGGATTTGTTATAATAGCCTATAAGCGCGATTATTTTGCAATCAAACCCTAAATAATGAACTTTATAAACGCAGAGCCTTGCAAACACATTACTACGAGCAAGAATTGGCATTTTAAAAAGACTGTCAACTAATTGAAAATATGCAATATAAAAAAATAATGCTGATACAGCCCTCAGATTTTCAGCCATCGCATTTGAGTCTTTTGATTCACAGAAGCGTCGCGTGCGTTGAGATGCATTCCTGACAGAGGCACGCGCGTCACTCACCTGCACGACACGGTGATCTCAACTTTGGTGGCGGGGATCACTCCCGCGAGCGGCTCGAAATCCGCGAGACTCGCCATATTCACCAACCCGCTCATCACTGTGGACATGGTGCTGGGGGAGTGCTAGGGAAAGACACTGCGAGCATCCTTCACTCCGTGGATGTGGAGTGGGTGCGTGTGTAAGGGAGTCACACCGCTTCACGCGGTACGTCGTCGTCACAGGCGCGCGGTCAGTCCACGCGCGAGAGAATTCCTGCCAGGCACGCGCACCAGCAAGATGCGTGAACCATCCGCTCAAATACAATCACCCAGCGCGTAACTGAACTATCGACTGATATACCAATTTCTATCACATCTATATCACATATCACATCTATAGCTTTTAGAACCTTAAAAAAAATAACTTCTCATTCTAGTTTGGCACATAAACATAACACTTCACACAATAAATATTGAAATGGTTCATTATTGCACTCTTTTTTTCTTATAATTTTAAATAGTTACGCCTAAATTCATATTTTAATGGTATGACAGGTCAACAGACTGAATTAGGCTAAGCCTACTCTAGTTTTTATAGTGTTTTTACATATCAATGCACGTCTATTGTGTGCTTTGAACAAAGCATCGGATTTAAATTCTGAGGTCTAAAGGAAGTTAAATAGAAAAAAATGTGAAAAACGCTTCATGGATGCCATTATGCAATGCTGAAGAACAGAGAGCTGACCATACATCTATAATACTTTATGCACTGTGGATTCATAGCATATATATACATTATTAAAATGTATTAGCTAGTGTATTGTACAGGGTTACAACGGGGTTACTTTTCATTACTCCCATAGTGTATGATTGCAGAAAAAATATGTTTGGGTTTTTTTTTTGAATATTGATGGAGAAACAGATTTTGTGCGAAAATAAATAAAAAAATGTTTGTTTAAATGTTTGTTTGTTTAAAAATTGTATAAATGTAGGTGGCAAGGTTGGCCTTTTACTCCACACATGGGGAATATGTCTCATGCTAGGCATGTAACCATGGTTCCCTGAGAGGGGAACGAGACGCTGCGTCCCATCGGATGCTTTGGGGAACACCCTCAGCGTGACTTCAACTTAAGCATGTGTGCAACTAGTCCAATGTTGACTGGTGCTTCGTCACCTTGTGACGTTTGCCACCGGAAGCCGGCAACATAACAGCATCAGCTTTTGATAGGCTGAAGCAAGCAGCTCTCTGGCATGCAGGAAGTATGGCAAGAGGACGCAGAACGGGTTCCCTCGAAAGGGAATGTCTCAGGATTCGCATGAACCATGCTCCCTGAGAGGAAAACAAGCGGGGAATAAAATACCCACATTGCCATGCTGACAAATGCTTGTCCTGGTGTGAAGCTGTCCAAGGCACAAGTCAGGACAAAAGAGTCTGGGACCCAGGTCAAAGTCCTTTTAGGCAAGTCATGCCACTCGGCCACCATCTTGGCAATGCCTCCGGCCAGCTATTTCAGACTAACAAGACCAGACTCCTATCTAAATAAATGGGCAGAGACTCAGAACTGCACTTGGTCACCGGGACATACGGGACACTGGGATTCTATACATACAAACTGCTTGTATAGAAACAGCAGTAAAATATGATAAACATCGCTGAAAAAGTTTGATGACTTTGCCCCAAAATAAGGTTTAAAACGCCTATTTCCCCACAGGTTGTACTTTACTGCGCATGCGCAAGGGTTATCTCGCTCTCTGTCGTGCGCACTACTGCTCGCTCGCTCTAGATTCCGGGAGATTTGAGCTAATTTGCAGTCATCAGGGAGCTGCTATCAATCTGCGGGAGACTCCCGGAACTTCCGGAGACTTGCGATGTCTGATAATTACACAACTAACACATATCAAATCTGCCGCCTTTTCAAACAGAAACATATTTTACGTTGTCGCAAACTTCAACTGTGCGCATGTGTTGATGGAACCAGACGATAGGCTTAAATGTTTCCCGGCTTGACTGTTAAAAGCAGACAATTGGCTTTCCAGCGGGAGGGGCGGGGCCTGTGCATACAACCACCATCTTTGGTGTTACAGGTTTTCCCTATGTAGTTTTCTTAAGGATTGAGGAAGTGGCATGTCTCTATATAAATAGTCCCTGCCCAGGTCCAGGCTATAAAACCTTAAAAATGTGTGTGGGGAGGACCACTACATCACAAACTTCCTGCAAGGACGCCCCTGACAACAATGCTCAGGTAGAAGCAACGCTCCTCGTGGAATCTGCCCTAACTTGAAGAGGTGAAGGCAGACCACGCACCTCATAAGCCAAAAAATGATTCCACAATCTACCTGCTGATTGTTTGTTTAGTGACCGTGGACCGGCGGTTAATTTGTTCTAGAAAATGTCCGATATTGGATTTTTGCATTGCGGCATTGCTTTTAAACGATCCGGCATAAACAAGTGCATTACATGGTGATGGTGCACACAGGCATGATGCAAATGTTTTCAGTTCATTTCTCTTGCTTGAGCGTAAAGCTCAGCTTCCATAGGAATGAATTAAAAACGCTGCCAGGGTGCAAGAATGCCAAGAATCAGGATAGCAGGAGACACGAGCAACGGGAGTTAGATCAGTCAGAATCAGAAATCTGTGTAAAGGAAACCCAATGACGCTGTCTGTGAGAGAATATCACTGATTAACTCAAATATTTTCGGTCTCAATGTAGCTATACGTGACAGAATAATACACTAGGCTGTAGTTAGGGCTGTGCAGAAACTTGCGAATGATTCTCTTACAGTTGTACCATCCCTTTTTAGTGACGTCATTGTATGTTCCGGGAAAACGGAGTTGTATGGTCAGTGTCGGTCACAGTGCCATTTAATTGCTGTTTTTGATCATTGGTGGGTACCTTAGATACATAACCAGGCTTCGGGTGGAGAATAATCTTCACCCTACACAGGGGAAAACTCAATGCAGGAGGAGGCGACTGACAGGGCTTGCAGATCTCCTCTCTTAGGGGATGTAATTGCTAATAGAAACGCCATCTTTAGATCAATGCACATATTTGCTGCCAATTCCAAAGGCTCGAAGGGTGCCAAGGACAACCCGTCCAATGTGATGGATAGATCCCAGGATGGGACTCTAACCTGTGACATCGGTCTCATCCTCAATGTACCACGAATGAAATGAGACACCAAATGGTGCTTCCCCAAAGATTCACCACCCAAATGTGTCTGAAAGGCTGCAATGGCCGCCACAAAAACTGGGCAGGGAACTACTGGCAGAAAGTGTCCTTGCAGAAACTCCAGCACTGAAGACACTGGGCAAGTAGCTGGGTCCAAACTGTGCACTCTAGTCCATAAAGTGAATACTCTCCACTTTAAAATATAAAGGTTTCTTGTGAAGGAAGCTCAAGAATTGAGAATGGTCTATTTGGTGGAGAAACCTGCATTTATGAATTGATCCCTGTTAGAGGCCAGACCCAAAGTTTACACATCTCCTGCCGGGTGTATTAAGCCCCCACCCTGTGATAGAAGGTCCCTCCTGACAGGAATCTCCCAAGGAGACCGTCTAGGAAAGCTGACCCCAAGTGTTTGATGTGGTAGAGCACGACATCTCCTGAGACTGGGCTAATATTAACCAGTCGTCTATACACTTAAACTGATGACCTGGAGTCTCAGAGGAGCCAGAGTTGCATCCATACACTTCATGAATGTGTGAGGAGATAACACCAGGCAAGAGCGGAAGAACACGATATTGGTGTGCTTTAACCCCGAAAGTGAACCTCAGGAACATCCTGTATTGTTGAAGGATGGAAATGTGGAAGTATGCATCTTTCAGATAAATCGTGACAAACCTATAAACCTGTATCTCTTCAGAGACTCCCATTCTTTTTCGGAAGTATGAAGTAGCGGCTGTAGAACCCAGTATTTCTCTCTGGTGAAGGGATACGTTATATGGCTCCCTTTGCCAGAAGAGAAAGCACCTCCTTTTCCATAACCAGAGCCTGCTCTGTGCCCATTATCATGATCAGTAGCCCATTGAAACTGGGTGGCTGACGCCAAAACCTGGATCCTGTATCATTTCTGTAGTGTATGCAGGACCCACTTGGTATAGCTCTCCAGGCTGCCATAAAGTCTACTAGAGGAATAAGCCTTAATAATTAAGGAATTTAAAACTTTCCCCTCAAGTGAATGTACTGTAGGGAAAACCCAAACTGATATTTCAACATGACATCATGACTTTTGCGTAAACATACACGCCACTTTCGAGTCAAGTGGCGTGTTATCTCTACGTATTTTGAGCTATCCGCGTGTATGCGTGTATGTCTACGGCATTAACGTCCGAGTGATTCCGTGTGTCTGTACACACCATCAAATGTCCGCGCGAAACGAAGCAAAATGTAGATCTACATCTGGGCAGGGAGCTTTTTTTTTTCCTAGGATGGTAAGGGAACAGTCATAAATGCCATTAACCCCAGTGACGGGTAGGTTTAGGGACGGGGTTGAGGTAAGTCATATATTTATATACACAGTAATAACGTTAAGTCAACGGCGTTCATAAACACGCTGAAAAGCGATTATGCGTCTTGATAGCACGCCAAAAATGGAAATACGAATTGGCGTGTCATACACACGCTACTTCATGAGATCAGTCTGGATATTTGTACAGGTTACCTTGAGGAGGATAAACCCCCCATGAACGCAGCGTTTTCAAGCACACAATGAGGTTTGGGTTCGTTGGAAATCGTTTTTGCCCTGAAGCACCACCAAGGAAGTAGTAGTACACTCTCAGAAAAAAAGGTACAAAAGCTGTCACTGGGGCTGTACCTTTTCAAAAGTACCTAAAGGGTGCATATTGGTACCTTAATGGTACATAATAGCACCTAAAATGTTCATATTAGCACATAAAAGGTGGATACTGTATTAGCACCTAAATGTCCATATTAGCACCTAAAATGTCCATGTTAGCACATCAAATGTACATAATAGCACCTAAAATGTACATATTAGCACCCACATGTCCATATTAGCACCTAAAATGTACATAATAACACCTAAAATGTACATACTGTATTAGCAACTAAAATGTACATATTAGCACCTAAAATGTAAATAATAGCACCTAAAATGTACATAATAGCACCTAAATGTCCATATTAGCACCTAAATGTAATGTACA